GTGTGTGTGTGTGTGTGTGTGTGTGTGTGTGTGTGTGTGTGTGTGTGGACTTTATTTCATTTGTAGAAGAACAAGCTTTGAAACTCAATTGAATCTTTAAGAATGTAAGAACTAACACCACAAACCGTTCCCCCTTGCAACAAATAAACAAACACCATATCAACAAAAATCCTGAATTCACCGTGAATACAAAACACTGAGTGACTTTGCTGAAATATGCTGAAGTAGCTGAAACAGAGCTGAAAGCTATTGCAAAACACCAGCTAAAAGCAGAAAAAGGCTATCTAAAATAGCAAAATGCTGGGCCTAAGCAATGGGGTGAACTGAAGTGAGGCGCTATCACGTGACTTTTCCTGGTCAGAGAGATATTTTTCAGGGCAGGTGACAGTGGTCAATCTTTTGAAGTGTGCATCATGCTTTCATTCAATAAATAATAAAACACACGCATCAAAACACTAAAAGTTAAAATTATAAATTTCAAATTAAAACTAGCAAAATATTAGCTAAAAGTAGCAAAAAAAATTAAAGGAAATGGAGTATAGTGAAAAGAACTACGCTAAACCCATGAGAAGTTTTCTAATATTTCTGAAGGACTTGAGTTCAAAGGACCTATAGGACATGTACTTTATTAACAATAAATACCCATTGCACTTTATTTGGGATTTATTGCTAATTGGCTACTTAGGAAAGTAAAAAAAGAAAGCTTTGTAAACCAAAAGTCATACTTATGCTGTGGACGAGCTGAATGTTTTCATTTGCACAAGTAGTTAGACTGAAAAAAAAGAAAAGAAAAGAACAGAAAATAATTTAAACAGGAAAACAATACTGCTGACTCAGCTTTAACACTGTTAGGAGCTGTCTTTAAAGGGGTTTGTCAACTTTCTTGTCCAAAGTTTCCAAGTGTGTGTGTGTGTGTGTGTGTGTGTGGGGGGGGGGGGGGGGGGCACCCCTACGCAGTCAGGACTCTCGCGGAACGCAAAACTCTTCAAAGAGTTCTGAGCTCCTGCTTTCAGGGAGTGCGCATGCAGGAGAGCTTGGAGGAGGAGGAAGAGGAGGAGGAAGAGGACAGGACATGAGAAACTGCGAGCAGAAACCAAAACAAAGTCAGAGGCTGAGTTCTGTCAGGGAATGAGGCGGAATGGTTCTCCAGCCGAGCTGCACATGTGAGCCCGGGGGCCACCGGTAGCGTCTCTCTGCCTTCACACGGACACACGGGGGTAGAGAAGAGAGGCGGCAAGAGAGAAGAGGTCAAAGTTGAAGCGTGCTGTCACCTCCAACATGAAGGTCTTTGGGCCGGTTTTCAGCTGGGTGCTGCTGAGCGGGGTCCTCCTACAGGCTGTGGCACCCTGGGGTGCAGCGCGCCCGGGCAAAGCGAGGCACTGCGACGCACCAAAGACGGTGAGTCTGTGAGGCGCACTTTTCTTTTTTTCCCCCTACTTCTTACTTTATTTTTTATTTTTTGAGTTTCCAACTCATTGCAATAACTAAGAAAACGGAGTGACTCAGTTTCTTTGCTGTAAAATTGGTTCTAGTTGCAAAGTATAAAAAACTGCGTTACCAAGTTGATAAAAACACAATAAATGTTCATTTTATGAGATTTTATAATTATGCATCAAATTTTGTGTGAAAACCAGAAAGATGCACGTATAAAT